TTGGGAGCTAAACTGGGTCGCAGCCAGCCGGCGGTGAGCTGCGTTTGTTTCTTCAGAAGTAGCAGATAGGCAGCTTGCTCTTTAAATGCCTGCTGATAGGAAAGCCGGCAGCGTGGGTTTGTGCTCTTACCCATCCCCGAGGGTTTCAAGCTACTCTGTCTTTTTTTTTTGTTTTCTGCGCTTATCTGCACAATACCCGGTGTCACTGATGGGGAACTGACACCGAGGGGTGAAGGAACTGCTGCGGTTCTCGCAGGACTCGGGGGGGGAGGAGGGAATTGAAGCTGTCTTGGGACTGGGACCTGATTTCGACTTCCCATTCAAGGGCCTGATTCTCTTCTCCTTTTACTCACTGCAAGTTTCACCCTTAACTGAAGGCAGGTGGGGAAGGTCAGGCTCTGAAGACCACCTTTGCAGCTCAGTGCTGTCAGTCCGCTCCCGCATCCCTTGCACGAGCTGATCTTCCTGATATCCTAGGGAGCTTTTTGAGATGTTGATTTGGCCCAGGAGGTACTAGGGTAGGAGCACCCGGAGCAAAACCCACCCTCTGCTCAGCAGCAAGGCTTCTCTTCCATCTCCCAAGGCTTCTTTCTGCAAATCGCTTGAAAAGTCTGTGCCCAAAGAGGTCACCCTGTGGTGCATGTTTGCAGCGTCCTCCCATGAGCGGGTTTTGCAATCTGCGCCTGAAATCTGCTGTGCCGGCACAGGCTGTGAAAACTTAGGGTGAATCTTTTTGCAAAAGTTCTGCTGGTTTCATCTTCATCTCCTTCTCCCCTTCTTCTCTGAGGCACCTGCTCCCTCTGAGAGGTGCTGGGTGCGATGGGACACGAATGAGGCTGTGAGTCCCGGCTGGGTGCGTGTGCGTTGAGGCTGGTGCAGGTTTTCAGGCAATCGCTCTGCTCGGGGCAATGGTGGGGACCTTCAGCAAAACCAGCTTTTTCTGGTCACCTCCCTCGGTGGGTGCCTGGATGGCCGCTCTCCCCTGGACCCAGCTGTGCTGATGGGAGCGAGTACTGCCACCAGCCCCAGATCAACCCGTGCAACTGGTCTGGGACCTGCGGAGAGCATCCCCGGGGACACGGATGAGGGTCGAGGGGTTCGAGGTGCTGCGGGGTGGCCTCTGCTGGAGCGCGGTGTGGAAGAAAGAGCGTTTATATCTTGTTTCCTCTCGGCAGGGTGATAAATGCAGGGAAGAGCCAGCACAACGAGGACCAGGCATGCTGTGAGGTGGTGTTTGTGGAGAGAAGGCCCAGCCTGAGGGGCCGGCTGCCATCCAGGGAAGGCGGTGGGGAGCTGGACAGGGTGAGAGCCAGGGCGGTGTGCGCGGGCAGGGATGTGAGAGGGAGGATGCTCAGCGGCAGGATGTGAGATGGGGCGTGTGGCGATGTGTGCAAACCACCGCTTCCCTGCAGATTCCCTTGGTTCCTGGGCCGACTGCCCCTGTTCCCTGCCAGCTCCTACCATCATCCTCACTGGACTACCCCAGGGCTGGCTGGCCCGAGGAGACCTCTGGCCCGCCTGCCCCAGCGGGCTGTGGAGGTGGCTGCCACGCTGGCCCCGTCACGCCTCTCCTTTGGAGGAGACGGCTGCCAGGGACGTGCTGCTGGCAGCACGAGGTGTCTGACGCAGGGCTGGGCTCGAGCCAGGGACCAGCCGTGTCGGGACACCCTTGATCAGCTGCCCACGTCGCTCCTGCCTGCGCTGGGCTGGGACCTGCCAGCCGGAGGCAAAGCCCCATGTCGCTCTTCTCAGCTGGTGACCCCAGCTGCTCTGAATTCCCCGTCCCGTCTGCTTCCTCGCAGGGTCACTTAACCTTCCTTTCTCTCCCCACAGGACAGGAAGGGGTTTTATTTCCACTACTGGGCCTTGTTTGACGGCCATGCGGGCAGCGGTGCTGCTGTCATGGCATCCAAGAGGCTCCATCTCCACATCTGTGAGCAGCTCCGGGACCTTGTGGACATCCTGCAGGACCCCTCCCCACCTCCCATCTGCCTCCCACATGATGTGACAGCTGGCCCCGCAGAGCCGAGCCGGGTACCCCTCGCCGAGGACAACGGGGAGGTCCCCAATGATGCTGTGCCACGGTTTCACCTGGAGAAAGCGGTCTCTCATGAGAGCCTGGTGATCGGTGCCATCGAGAACGCCTTTAAGCACATGGTGAGCGAATCCCCGCTTGCGGGGACGGCCAGGTATCGCCCGAGAGCATCTCTCGCTGTCTGTGTCTGCATTGGTTTGTCCCCTCTGGCAAAAGGCAGCTCTGCAACAAGGAGGGGGCTGCAGGAGGGCTCCCAGCAGGACAGCCTCAGAGAGGGCACTGCGATGCTGTCCCGTATTTGGGGGGTTCAGGGTGCAGAGGCTTTGGGCTCTGACCCTGTGTGGGCGCAGAGGGCTTCATTACACTTTGTTCCAGCAGTCCCAGCTGCTCCCCTCCTGTCTTGCTCTTTCCTGCCTGCTCCCCTGCCCCGGTGAAGCCATGTCCCCAGCTGCCCTGCAGGACCCTCGCCCAGCGTGGGGAGAGGTGCCCGGGTCCCGGCTG